CTATTTGATTTCATCAGCATGGTCCCATTGTTTTGCATGAACACAAAGAGATTGGCTATCTTTTAAAGCCTTTGCAGCCTCCAGAGGCCTTTATTTTATTTTAATATTATTTTACAGTAGGAAGACAGGAAATGTGGCTAGAGAAAGGAGTCAGGCAGGAAAGGGACTAAAACCTCCAACGGTAGCATCAAGAATTTTGTGCTTAACCCCCACCCCAAAGCCTCTCCCAGACAATTTTCTTTTTATTTTAAAGATTTTAAAGATTCTTTATTTATTGGGTCAGCCAGTTTTGTTTTTTTAGGATTCATATTCAATTTGAAATTTAATATGTTTTGTCATCATATTTGATTAGTTCAATATCAAAATAAAATTTTGGGTTGGGATGTTGTTCTTCAGGACAAACATTGAAACTAGTGATCGTTGACGGGACAATGGTTAGTTGATTAAAACGTAATCCTCTCCGAGGAGATTGATAAACTATGCTTTCTGTCCCTCAGTTTGTTTGTGTTTTTTTTTTTTTACTATTTATTTATTTAATTTTTTATAAATAACTTTTCATAATCTTTCCAAGTCAAATGTGGGAATTTTATTTAATTTGTGTATAGCACAGAGACAAAAGTGACAAAAAATCTGTGCAATCTGCCTAATCTGCCAAGTCGAAGCCTCTTTTTATGCAGTCAATGTGACATGGGAAAAAATCGGATAAGAGAACAGAATAAATGGCTTATTAATGTGCAAGATGCTCATGAAATGAGGCACATTTTAGTGCCTATTTAATGCAGTTTAATGACTACATTATTAAACTTTGATGCATATTTTACAAATATGTTTATTAGACTTAGACTTCCTTTATTGTTATTGCACAAAAAAAACAAAACAAGGTGAATCTTGACAATGAAATGTCGATTACTTGGCTACCAGTGTAACAGAGCTAAGGCCTTATCCCTGCAAAATAAATATGTTTATTGTGAAATTTAAGGGGGAGGTTTAGTCTTCCTAGTAATCAATTAGCAATCCCCACTGGTTGGCCTAGAGTCTTTTTCTTGTAAACGACCAGATTGACATAGCTTTTTAATCAATTTACTTCTTGGCTGAATGATTAGTTCTTCTCTACCTTTTGGGCCCAATTCTGCCAAATAAAATGCAAATGTTCAGAAGAAATTATTCAGCAGCTAAGATCCTCTTCCTGTTGTCTTAATGTTTTACCCACAGGTTTTATTAATAAGATTTTTCACACCTAATGTGTCAAACAGACCGACTGACTCAGAACTACAACAGAACTCTCCTCACTGAATCGAAAATGAGTGAAATGAGTGAAAAATTAAACAGAGTGAATGGCTTTAAGACAGAGGACACTGCAAGTTTTTTACCACCTCCAGAAGTTCTCCGATGACTCGGCCATTGTGAGCTGTGTTTCTAAGGGGAACGAGCTCAGTACACAGTACATGTTGCAGTGTTAAAGTACCACTACGAGAGTACGTTTGGTCCCACAGTAATTGAGATTGGGACCAAATTTACTCTTGAGTGTTACTTTAACTCTGCAACATTTACTGTGTACCAGTCGGTCAATAGACTTTGTGGTCTGGTATGAGAACACCCTGCCTGTGTTTCTAAACACCAGTAAGACCAAGGAGACAGAGACAACTTCAGGAGACTGAAAGAGACTGAACAAGCTGGTGAGGACAGCCACTTCTATCCTGGGCTGCACTCTGGACTCTATGGAGGAAGTGACTGGGAGGAAGGTGTTGTCCAAGCTTCATGAACAATACCTTCCCCCCCCTGCAGCAGACCGTAGAGGAGCTGAGCAGCTCATTAAGTAACAGACATCCCCGTATTTTAAAAGGAGTGCTACCGCAGGTCATTCATCCCTGCTGCCATCAGACCTTAAATGCCACTGCAATATAACCCAGTTTAATAAAACTGCAATAACTTATACTATTCATCTGTTTAATGAACCAGAAACTGCACTTTACCTGCCAACTCTTTAATGTAAACGATGCTGTATATATAAGTCAACTTAAATCACTCCTTTATTTTTTACAATCCATTATATATCTTGATGCACTGTATAAACTTCATTCACCTTTTCCTCCTATATGTACTTTCTGTTTGTTTATAAGAGCCCATGTCATAAGCAAATTTCTCCATTGGGAGATCTTTAAAGTTCTATTCATATATTTATATATTCCTGCTCGGTGTTTTCTTTACATAGAAAAATTAAAACCAATCTAATTGTATGAACTGGTTGATTTCTCTCTGATGTACTGGGTACTGGGATCTGAGACTTAAAATCAGTTTATCATAGAGGTTCATGGTTAATATACTTGGAGTTCTTTATTAAACAATGCTTTGTGAAACTAATCTCAGGTTTATACAATAACCCAATATATATCATAGAATATTCAAGTTATAGAGTATAAAAATATTAAACAATTATGACTAAAGCATTATTCAATAATTGTTAATTAAAGAGACCAGAGCCCTCCTGCCTAAACATTTTCTTTCCAAAGTTAAATAAATAAAATTGAGTACATATTTTAACCAAGAGCATGTTGCAGCCTACCATTTTTGATGACCAGTGATGTGGAGGCAGAGCTAAATGGTCCAGAGGTCTCACTTGTTTCTGGGCTGGAGGAGGTTGGGGGACTCCGACTCCAAGGGGTTATTGGAGCCCTCTGGGAGGGAAGGAAGCTGGTAGGCTGAGAGCAGTTCTGCAAAATACATAAGTTTCTCAATTACAACTGTATTCTGGTTTTACAAGTTTCTTACTCTTTCAGCTTTTCAGAAAAAAAACATAATTTAATGTTTATCAATGATAAGTAAACAGAAAATCCATTTGTTAGTTGTTGAGGTCATTAATTTAGATAACAAAGCTATCCTAATCCATCCGACCTCATTCAATTTGTAATTGCCTCCTTCACTGTTAGAAATTAACACATTTCCACAATAATTAACAGTATTATTTTACAGTAACTTGTTGTAGCTGATTTCTTATTCTACAGTAAAAGAACCTGCCACGGCCCCATGGGACCTCAACACTAGGGCTTCTGGGGTCAGGCTTCTCAGAGACTATGCCCCTTTTGGATTTGGCCCCACTGGGGTCGGGCCTGAGGTGCTCTTGCCTGCTTTTCTCTGGTGGGTTTGGCCGTCCTAATACCTGGAGCTCTGGTCCCCTCTTTATCAGTCCTTGGCCCTATAGGGTGAGTCTGTAGTCACCCACACTTGCTATTGAGCATCTTTTCCTTCTAAACAGAAGTATTTCTGTCTCTATCTCTTTCTCTCCCCCCTTTATTCTTGTGCCCTGTCCCTTTCTCACGTCCCTTTCCATCTCTGTGTCTGTGTTTACTATTTTATTCCCTAAATCATTTTCACAAAATCTTTACATATAACTCTAAGTGGAATCTTATCGCAAAAAACATAATTGTCTGCTTGGAAAACAAAATCTGTTGGGCTATAATCTAGGTCTTGGATTGGCAAAACATGACACAAACAGAAAGAAAACCCCAAAAATTAACCATTTTGTGTTCATACCAAACCGTAACCTAAACTCAAGTGACACATAGTCCTACAGTAAATATGACCCCCTGTGGAGTCCAGACACTCAACAAGGAACAGTTGCTCTCTACAATGTGCTATTCTTTTGGCAGAAAATAGGCATAATGTGTTAAAAAAAAAATAAGACACACACAAAATCACATTTCTATCCATATTAACACTTCCATTCATTATGCCTAACCCTGACATTTATCCTAACCATTATCAGTATATTCCTAACCCTTACCCTAATCTAATGTTGATTAACATCATACCCCAAACTGACTCTCTGCGATTACAAATGTAGGTCCACCACATTAGGACCAGCTCTCAGTCCAATAAGGCCTGTTGGTCCTCGGATGGTGAGTAAATATATCAAAAATGGTCTTAAATAGGTAACATAAACAAGTACACATCCAAACTTGCCTCTCTATCTTTGTTGGGCCTTTCCCCTGACTTCCATTAATTTCTACAGCCTAACCATGACCCTTACCCTAACCCTAGACATTATGGGTTCATACCTAACCCCAACCTTAACTTAATTCTGACCCTGACCCAAAAACAGCAATTCCCATCATGGGGTTCTGGCATTGGGTCCCACAAGGAGCGGTCGGTCTCCACTATGGTCTATTTTTCCAGAAAATGGGCCACTCAATGTGTTAAGGTTAGACTCACTAATAAAGGGACTGAGAAAAAAATGTTACAGTACATTCAAATCAGACTATCATTTGCTTGATGTTGAAAACACATAGTAAGATTTTTTTGACATAAAAATAAGATAATAAATCCATGAAGACATATTTTTTCACAGCAAGTATGGATTAAAGGACTGTGAACCCGCTTACCGTGAAAGACAGAGCCTTTCTTTTCTCTTTGATCCTCTTTATGGCATTTCTCACCTAAATCAGATACAGACTTAATCCCACATGCTATTTCATACACATTGTACAAAACACCGCATTTTGATAATATGTTGCTGATCCAGCAGCAGCTCTAACAAAATACAGGAATGCCATCTTACCTCACTGTTGTAAACAGCATACACTATGAAGATATACAGGCCCTGTGGAAAAGTAAGTTAGAAAATAAGGAAAAAATAAGCATAAGAAACAAACTTTTATTGACAATGTGTCTCTATTTAGTGCCTCATTTTGCAACCTCTGTAAAACCATGTTTTTCTCTTCACCTACAAAAGGAAAGCATTTACTGCAAATTCATTGCTATTCATTTCACCTCCCTTAACAGTGTTTTCATGTTGGATTCAAAAGAGGCTGTTTTTTAAAAAGGGCACCTTATTTAACAACAAATCTCCTCTGTTTAAATAAAAGAGATAAAACATTCATCAGACAAATTATTTGCAGAAATACCCTATTTTTTAAAAATTGATATTTGTTGACCTTGAATCAGTCCAGACATTGAGATCAGAAGAAATATTGTCCCTCCATCTAACTATCAATGCTATGTAATTCCAGATGTACCAAGGTTGGCTCTAATGGGAAAAAGGGCTAACAAAGTCATACTTTATGTGAATTGTTCAACTATGTCTGAAAAGAGATATTTGAACTAGTTTTCGGAAAACCTGTTTTATTAGGCCATGTGGCAGTATGTTCTACTATCAACTGCAATTAGAATAAACAAGAACCCTTAATCCTAATTTGATGTTAGATTATAATACAGTACAAAGGCCATATTTAAGGCAAAGGGCAGAAAAAGAGACAGAAAAGCTTTGTATGAAAATCAAAATAATCTAGGAGGAAAAGTAGGGTTCATGTGCTGCTCATAACATTAACTTTAACATCTGATCACCAGCTAATGTGTGACCACCTCTATAGAGGGTGGGGTTTTTAGATCCGTGTTCATATTATGCCAAGGCGGGAAAGACATGAGCAATACCCTTAGAGAACCAATAAATTTAGCCAATCAAAGTGTTAGAAGACAAAGTGTTAGAAGGTGATTTCCATTGATTAACAGAAAGCAGGTTCAGTTTGAGGTCTTGAGATCAAAAGCACTCTGATCATACACTAAGACAAGTATCTCAAGTGTTAAATTGATTTGTTTAAATTAAAACGATGTACCAAGAAGAGTGAGCCATAATTACTCCAAAGTAAAGAAAAATACTATCTGCTAGTTACTGACAAAAAAAATATAACATCTATTGCCCCATATAGTAGCATAGCCAAGTTATTGGGTTTGGTAGCCATTATTTGTCTTAAGTAGAGTCACAGTGGCTTGGATAGTTTTTTTTTTTCCCTTATTAACCTATTGACCATTTTGATAAATACAAAGGTGGGTTCTCAACGCCTAAGCAGCCAAGCTAGGTTTTAGCCAAGAATGATTGGTAATGGGTTGCCTAAAATAATTTAAATTAGCGTGTTTATTATTTGCTTATCTTTGTCTGATATAAAAGTTTGCTTCATGAACTAAAACATTAAACTTTGACCAAAAAAGAAGCAGGACAAGAAATTTGTAAAAGTTCAACATCATTCTACTGTTTTGCTTTCATGTAATGCATAACATATGGCAGGGAGAGATGAGCATATACAGATCAGAATTTGTAATGGGCCAAGCAGTAAGGACAGTCAGGCACAGGGGTTTGTCAAAAAGCAGAGTCCTTTTATTTAACCCAAAAAATAAAATGGATACAAAAATAGAGGTCAAAGGTACCAAAACTACTCAAATATACATGTAACAGAATAAGACTAACTCAAACAAAGTGACCTCCCTTAATGAGAGAAAGGGGTCCACAAAAGAAAAACATGAGAGTAAAAAGGAATGGTGAGAGTACCAGTCCCTGTGGTGCTCCTGAGCTGCTGGCTACTTGATTAGACAGTTGACCCTTCAGTCTTACAAACTGTGGTCTGTTTGTTAGGTAGTTTTTGATAAGGGTGATCGTTGATGCCTCCACCTCCACCAGAGTCTTCTGGAGTTTCTCACAAAGTCAGTAAGGCTGAATTGTGTTAAATGTTGTGGACAAATGATCCTCACTGGGCTCTCTGCCTTCTCTAAGTGACAGTGGTTGTGTTGAAGCAGGTGTATGATGGCTTCTTCAACAGCGGTAAGTAAACTGCAGGGGGTTCTTATTGATGCTTGTTTGCTTGCTGAGGTGAACCAGCAGGAGTCTTCATGATGGAATATCATGGGTGCCATCTACTACATACATATAACTTACACTAACATTAAACCTTATTGAGCTTTGTTTTTTTTTCTACAGAACATAGTGTTATTTTGATTGGCAGCATCTCCTAAGCAGCAGCTTGTAGTGTTAAAACTGTACATTAAAAGAACACAAAGCCTCTAATTCAAAAGCCAACACCAATATTTTTTTTTCGTATTTCAAAACAAGAACATGAAATATAGCAAAACTTTCACCTAGGTAGATATAACTACATGTAACTCGGTCAATAATGTTTAAGATTAAAGCAGCCTTGGTTTTCAAAACTGACTAAAATTATGCTCCCTATATTTTTTCAGGTTTACACAACTGAAAATAGTTTACTAACCCCAAAAAGCGTTTTAGATTTTTTCATCTTTTTTAATTATAGTACGTGAGTTTCTCCTGCACAAATCATAGTCTGGCATGGCAGATAACCAAGTTCAACCAGATCATTAGGTGATCTGCATGTCAATATATCCCAGTGTGAGAATTTAGAAGTGTTACTGTAGAGCACTTTCAGTGGTTATTCAATAAACTCATGTTATCCTATCTTTTCCTCAGTTTCATTGCTTCAGAGGAAAGCTGCTGATTCCTCCAAATCCTCCTACCAACATGAGGAAGAACTCCTACTGTAGTGTTATCTGGCCTCAAGTGGACTCTGGTTGTAAATCTAAATTAACTAGCAGCTCTCTAGAGGTCACCCAAGGGCTAACTCATTTTGATTCATTGAAGACACTGGGAGAGCAAGAGGGACGAGAGGGGTGAGTAAAACAAGGAAGGGACATAACAGACTGGAACGAGGAAAACAAGAAGGTGGGGGGATTTATATGATAAAAGGAACTAAAGGAAGTACATTAGACAGAGGAAATGAGTGCCATGTTATCTGAGGAGAGCTACATGTAGATGTGAAGTTCTTCAAAGAGTCAACATGTTTAAATGAATCTGATAGTGAAAACATTAGCCTTTTTAAGCAAAATGGAGCAAGTGAATAACAGCCCTAAAACACCAATATCACAATGAAGCAGAAGGGACTCTTGTTGTTCTTGAGTTCTTATTTTTTGCTAATGGTTGCATGAGTTGCATAATTCAAAGAATCTCCCCACTTCATTTATTTCATAAATGGCTGGACAAAACTATATTTGCTTTGTTTAGAAGCTTTTCTAAAAATCTATTTTTTTTCCACAATCAATGCAAGATTCCATGAATGCTGCTCCAATGCTGTTTAATACTGTGATTTCTGTAGATATTTGAGTGTATACTGTACATGTTTTCTTACATGAATCAAACACGCCTTATAAATGAAGCTCATCTGAATAATAATATTAAAAAAAAAAAAGCTGCAAAAGTATAAGACCATGTTATTATTGTCAGTGTTGAGTTCTTAAATTACCCTCTGTTCCCCCCTTGTGCTTGTTTTATTTCCCCTTGGCTTCCTCCTAGTTGGTCTTGCCCACACCTGCTCCCAATCTGCTAATTAGCCGGTCTTGGTTCAGTCTCCCCATATATACACCACTTCTGTAGTCACTCAGTGATGTTTTGTTGATTTGTTGATTCCTTGTCTCTGGCTCCCCACGTGAGTTTTCCCTGATGTAATTTTATTTTTGGTTCTCAGTTTTTTGTATTCTTGGATTACTGAGCTGCTTATTAAATCTGTAGGACTCACCTCTGACTCCTGGTCTCTGCATTTGAGTCCTAAAAAACCTCCACTCAACCTTGACCTTTATTGATACATGGCTCACACAGTAATGTTGTATGTTGTTATTCTTTTACATCCTTGAACTGAGGAAGCCTTTTGGATGAGAGGTCTTCTAGAAAACTAATGTCAAGTTGCCTAAGCTGAAATGTTCAAGCTACATCCTTGTAGTTTTATATATAATATATAATAAATAATACATTTAGGTTTGTTCGGTATCTTATATTTTTTCAAATAATGTCAGTATTTACACGGCACTCTCAGATTTTTCATTGCTCTAACTAACCTGTAAAGAATTGAGGATGATGAAGATGTAGCTGAGAACCACAGACAGGTGCACCAGTACTCCACATATCCATGTCAGACCCAGGACAGGTAGCAGGATAAGAACAGGACGGGTCACAGCCCTAAAAGGACACAGAAAAAAATACCTTCATTCATCACATAGAGTAGATTAATGAGTGTAAGATAAACAGTCATGTGAACATTTAGGAGACCCTTCACAAGCTTGCTTTTTTCTAAAAAAAATTATCTGATAGCAACTTTTACATCACTCGCTGACTAAAGTAATTCAAATAAACATTTACTACATTTTTCTCCTCAGCATGTGGCAATTTTAGGTCAGCAATTTCAGGTATATAAATTACTATTATTATAAAATAATATACAAATGTGTAATAATAAATTGAGATTCCAAATAAATGTTTTTTGAATATCAATCTTTTTTTCTGCAATAAAAATTACAAAGCACTAAATCCATTTCTGTTTGTTGTGCTGTGTAGGCCTCAAAATTGTTTTAGGTTCTCATGTGAGCAGTGTAATAATTCCCAGCTGTGATTGTTGCTATTTCACCAGACCTTCTCTTCTATTTCTATTCTCTTGTGCACATGACCATTCTATCAGTGGCTTTTGCTATGAAGATAGCTGGTCTGACCTCCTCTTCACATGTGGTGACATCTCTAAAGGTGTCTGTTATGATTCTGGCTTAAATGATCTGTTTACATTCTGCTTCACCTTTGACTGCCAGGCTGAATGCTGATTCTGTCCCCCTGTGCCATCTATGCCCACTCCCAATCTGCACAACTCAGCTCACCTTATCACATGGACTTGTAAGTCCAATGTGAACCAATGATCCAGTTATTGCGGATGTGAGTAGATGATTCAGTGTTCTTTCCTTGCCTGTCCTCCTGACCACGTCTTGTTCAGTTCCCAGATTACCATCTTACTTTCCCATTACTAAATTCTCTGCCCTGCTCTTTGATCTTCTGGACCATCTGATCTCTGAATACTCGCCACAACCCCCATTGTCTGATCTGTTTGCCCATTCAGTCAGCTATGAAGAGAGACAGTCTTTTTTACCCCCCTGTTTACCTGTGGAGACGTTATCCTGCTGCTCTCACTGAGGAACCAAAACAGGATGTAACGTCTTCACCAGAATCCTGAGAAGGTTAGTGGCTTCTCCTCTGAGTGTTTTTGAAATCATACAACTCATCCCAGCCACTAACATGTCTCTCCCTACCTAGTAGGTCTGGTCTGTGATGTTGTATTCTTATCAAGAGGATTTATTTTTTAATAAATCTTTAAAATGTTCACATTTATCTCTGGCTAAATTGTCCGGTCCTCAGTCTGTCTGGTCAATAAAGTTTGCCTAAATGTAGCTGTTATAGAAACCAATTGCCTGCTATCACTCGCTTCTGTCCTAATCATCTTGAGCTGCTGCTGACATATGCTACTGAGTGTTTACAAATAACTGTATTTCTTCAGAACTCCATTTTAATAACCTTGGTGTTCAGTTTAATGGAGTGCCCATATAAAAATGTGTCACTGTAAACATACAGTAAACCTTTACTAGGTTATACTCTAACAATCTAGTAAAAATGTATTCCATTTCTTTAAAGACTATTTCTTGGCTTGATTGGCTTTTATTTTTGAAAGCAGACAGGAAATGGGAATAGGAAAGAGGGAAGAATCGAACCTGTGATGGCTGCATCTAGGACTTTATTCAATTCCTAATCTGCTAAGTTTGTCATAAAAAGAAACCACATTTTTTAGCCCCTTTTCACACTTTTCTCGCTCAAGTGACACAAGTTTATGTAGAAAATGAAGCCCTTTAATAATCAAGGTAGAGCTAGGTACTGTAAGGTGGATCTGTAGAAAATTGGAGAACAAAACTGGGCTCTGCATGTTTAGAGCCCAGTTTTGCATAAAGCATATGGTATCTAAAAGATAGAGGTGAACGCAATAACAGTATTGTTTATAATGAGATGCTCACAGCTTTGTAAAACTTACCATTTTCTTTTGCTCCAAGTAAATTACCAGAAATGTCTGAGGAAGATAACATGCATGACTTTTTGAGAAAATTGCTGTTACTGGCAGGGTGCTTACATGGATGCTTTACTTTAATGAAATTATTAATGAGTGTCATCTTGGCACAGTTTTGTGGACGATTGAACAATGGCAGGAAAGTTTAAAGAAGGTACTGTATATTTCATGGAAAAAATAAAGCTTAGCTTCAGTTGAAAGTTAGTGAGCTTAATTATCTTTAGGACCCGTTAAATAATGACTTCTGTCAGTCTTAACATCACTGTATATCTTCTCTGTTTGTCTTTGGTGACACCTCAACTGTAGACCAAGAAAGTGCATATGACTAAACTGTTTTGAGCTGCGAAGATGCCATTTCTTTCAATTTCATAGTGATATGTGAAGATAAAAATACTGAGATGTGCATTTATGTAAATACAAATGAAAACCAAATAAGTCTAACACATGGTAAGTGGCTTGTACGTATATATAGTGCCTGTTCAAGTCAGGGGAGTTCAAAACACTTTATACTACACTCAGTCAATCATCCATTCATGCACACAGATTCTACTGTTCTATATTACATAAAGTACAAAAGGGGCCGCTGCTTCAAGCCATTTTCATTAATTGATTTATCTAACTTCATCCTCAGACTGCAGGAATACTGGGACCAAGACCATACAATTGTTAACCTCCTCTCCTGCTAAAACAGATTCAGGGAAGGACATACTGACCAGTTTTCCTCACTCTACTACATTCTCCTACAACCCTTCTATTTTGCAATATTTGGTGTTATTTCTGTCTTTGGCTTTTTGATTTCATGACCGGTTTGGTGGTGGGTCAGTGATGGTCTGGCGAGGCATATCCATGGAGGGAGGCACAGATCTATACAGGCTAAATAACGGCACCCTGACTGCTATTAGGTATCTGGATGTAATCCTTGCACCCATTTTCATACCCTATGCTGGTGCAGTGGGTCCTGGGTTCCTCCTGGTGCACGACAATGCCCGGCCTCATGTGGCCAGAGTATGCAGGCAGTTCCTGGAGGATGAAGGAATTGATACTGTTGCCTGGCCTACACGCTCGCCTGATCCAATAGAACACCTCTGGAACCTTATGCTTCGATCCATCCGATGTCGCCAGGTTGCACCTCAGATTGTCCAGGAGGTCAGTGATTCCCTTGTCCAGATCTGGGAGGAGATACCCCAGGACGCCATCCGTCGTCTCCTTAGGAGCATGCCCCGACGTTGTCAGGCATGCAAACACGCATGTGGGGGCCATACAAATTACTGAATACCATTTTGAGTTGCTGCAAGGAAATTTCAGCAAAATGGACTAGCCTGCCGCATCATGTCAC